GAATATATACTATCAAATAAACTGAAATTGAATAATGAGAAATTGATTCTCACTTTATGAAAGAGTATACTTATAATACAAAGTAAATTACAATCAGCCTCGAAATAAACGAAGAAGAAATGATATCCTTTCATGCAGTCTCGTAATCAATTTAATGACTAGCACGATTAACTTTATAATTTAGTACAACTATCGCGAATATCATGCTTCATCATAAATCATCCAAAGTCGTAAAACCGTAGTACCTACACATATTTGCATTGATACACGCTACTATAATTACGGAGCAGAGCGTAAGATTAATATTTCATGTCGGTGGCATTGTATAGGAAATTCTTACCGCGGAATACCTCGATCCTGTAAAAGCGTTGTAATTATCTATGCGTGTATTTGTGTAGCGAGAAGCAGCTTAATCGGTCGAGTTTGCGTGTCCTCCATGTCGCCGATGTCCCCGTGTAGTTAAATCGGAAAGCATCGGTCCGCCGACTCAGAAATGTACGATTTACGACAGTCTTATTCCGCGCCTCATTCCAGCCAGATTAAAGTTCAGCGATACTTATCAGCTAATAAAATATACTTTTTAAAATATACTTAAGATATAGTAAGATATAGTAAGATATACTTCAGTTTTTTTACAAGTCCTTTTAAGAGTTCGATACATTTTAACAATGATGCGACGAAAAAGGGTACATACCTTGAAGATTATTCAAGATCATTCAGAAGATTTTACATTTTTCTACTATTTGCACATAGTATTTTCTACATATGGTGTCAAATTTATAGGGTGGTTTAAAATCTACCCGTAAAATGGCTAAAAAAACCACACCAGCTGCGTTGCAAACTGAAATTGTTAATAACGATGAATGGGAGAAATTGCTCACAAAACCAGGTTTAATAGGAACGTGTAAATTATTTTCTGATAATTAAACTTTAGGTCAAATTTCTTATGTCCCGTTTAATAATGTTTTAGTAGTCGATGTATATTCCGAATGGAGCGGGCCTTGCACGGGAATGGTGAGCATCCTCAAGAAAATCAAAATGGAAATCGGAGGCGATGCTTTAAGTTATGCCACGGTAATCTTTAATTTTAAATAATTAATAATATAGATGTTTACACACTAAATGAAAGTAAGTAAATTATTATGAATAGGCGAAATGTGATTATATTACCGCCTTGGAGCGTTTTCAAGGAAAGAGCGAACCAACGTGGATGTTCATACACGTAAGTCCGATAATCTAAATGAACTTTTTAGCAAGATTAAAAGTTATTAAAAACAACTATACAGAACGGTCGTATGGTGAATCTAATGTTTGGTGCTCAGTGTCCACAATTATTAAAAATGTTAACAATGGAATTACAACGCGTACAAAATGACGAAGAACACGAGTATGTTCAAAGGAAGATGACTATAAGTATAATTCTAAAGCAACTTAAGAATAGTTATTTTTTACATTGTGCACGCGCAGGTTTTCTTTAGATGTATCAGAGAGAAGTCCGGAAGAAATAAAACGATTGCAAATTATTGAAGAAACTAGAATAGCCAAAGAAACGGCAAAAAGGGCTCGGAAAGGTTTCGCATGACATTTGTTATAAAAAATATGCACATTCTGCAATTTAGAATAGCAATTACTGGCACTTGTGAAATTGCACTGCTTTCCTGCGCGAATTCTGATAACGTAATTGAATGCATTTATTCATCGTGAATGTAGAAGCTGAAGCTGTAGCGCGGTACGAAGCTGAAATGTTGCATTTGATCACTTCGCTAAGTAAAGAAACTTGTCTGCTGCTTTACCCATGGGTTTTTAAAGACGAAGAAGGTCATAAAAGAGACAAAAGATCAAGCCCCCCATACGTAGAATTAGTCGAAGAAATTTTACCGGGAAATTATGCTATTGAACACGAAATACGAAAACGTCTTAACGAAGATATTCTCAGCTCCATGTTTAATGAAGTAATGCATAATTTTCAATCGTTAGATACATCTACGTCTACGATTAAACAAATTATTAATGGTTGTAATGAAACATTTTTATAGTCCGATTACACGTTAACATCGAATGCAAAAAAACTACTTATGGATGGTAAATGTATGTTCATGCGTTTGAAAGTAAGCGAAACGAAATCGGAAACTGATATACATGAGCATTTGATAAGTCTTTTATTTGGAGAAGCAGAATTACCCACTGCAGAAAAGAGTCTCAATGAAGAGTGGTATATAAATGCCGAATCAATATTCAACAATTAATATTTGATAATATTATTGAATAAAAATATTATTTCCTATAGTTTTGCAGGTCGACATCGTCCTAGCTATGTAACAAGTGAGAATGAAAACGAAGTTTTTCCACTTGTGTGGACACCGCCAAATCCTCGAAACAAAGCAATTGTCTTTCGCAACATTTTTGCAACATATACTAACAATACATATCCAGTGAGTATCAAATTATTTGCAAGAACAAATTGCACGTGTACAATTGGATAAATATTGCATTTGCACAGTATGAGGATAAAACAGCCAAGGTGCCCATAGTTGTATTTAAATACGATTACACGAAAAAGAGCGAACTCAAAATGATTTTGCAAGAATTTGAAGATGAAGTAATTAACTTTGGCATTTTCGAGTCTGATAAACCTCAAGAGGCGAAGCTTTTAGCGAAAAGTATCACAGAATTTGAGTCAAATACAAGAGAAAGGACGGGGTACGCCAAAAGATATAAGGTAATATCTGTTTACGGAAGAATAATTTTCTACTGATAATTTTCAGTTACGAGACATTCGTCTGCGTTGTGAAAAAGATAGGGTGCGAAACATTTTTAGGATTCGCTGGTATCGGACCTTATCACGTGAGTGAAAATCCAGAAAAAGCTATCGAAGAATCAGAGTTATACTTTCCGGATATTACTGCCGCGGATGAAACGCAATCGGACGACGAAGAAAAACCAGAAGAGGCGACGGAAAATCCGGAAGGGAACATGAATGAAACATCTTAAAATTATATACCTGAAAACATAATGTGTAATGAATTGTTTACTTTACGTTCGATTAAGGATTTAGTAATGTAATAACCGATTGTTAAGAAGCCAATATTTATTTTCCAATCACCTTAACTTATTATACAAAAGAAAATAGAAATAGACAAGATGTCTAAATGGTCGTAAAATCAATTTAAGGCGATGGTTTAATAAATTATGGCGAATAAACAAAATTTATTTCTTATAACCACAGCTACGCCTACGTCCCCTTGCTCGCTCAAACTTGCGACCTTTAGACCGAACCAGTGGTTTGGTGTGAGAATGTGGTACACCGGGTGCAGGTCCGAAGTGTTTCACTGCCTCACGGGCATTGCGGCGACCCTGCATCAAAACTGTCCGCCTTCCTGTAGGTGCACGTAATGCCAATTGATCAAAAGTGATCAATTCACCTCCAGCCTTTAATATACGTGCTCTAGCTTTCTCAGTAACGCGTAAAGCACAGACCTGTGATAAACGATTCATAAATTAAGCTGATGCATTTGCCTGTTGAAAACGTTTGTACAAAACAAGTAAAAGTACTTACTGTCAATTTAGGAATTTCAAAAATCCTAGCATCATCTGTTACTGTGCCAACGATTACCGCAATGGCATTTTCCCGACCAGGTTTCTTCATAAACCTGACCACACGTGCAAGAGATATTGGTGGCTGATGTATCTTGCTCATAAAAAGCCTCTTGAGAATGATCTCATTGAACTTGGAATTCGTACGTCTAGCGAGGAAGCGGTAAAGCTACAACAAGAACAACGATATACTCCCATATCCTTATATATTATTAAAAGATACAATAATTTGAAAAATATTAATACAACTTCTTGTAGTTACAATGCAAATTATGGTAAAACTGTAGTTTACAAAAACATTTCACAAAAATGAATCCGAAATAGTGTTGCAGTGTATCAATCAAAATAATCATCCTTCGTATAGTACGAACAGACGGAATAGGAAGATTGACTAAATATTCTCTAGCGAACGTTCAAATTGGATCAGTCTATCGATCAAAGGACTGACACAGAGTGCGGTCCGCAAACAAATATTGTAATGCCTGTTTTAAATCTCACGTGTTTGTCACATAGCAATAAACTAATTGCGACATGACTCTCTTTCAATGAAACATAAATTTCTACTCGCATTCATATTCCAAAGAAAACCGAGACTATGAATAAAATTTAAAACAAACATACAAAAGAACACTGCGTGAATATATACTCACTTTGACGAGAAGTCGCAAGTAGACATCTTGCGATTTGGGTTCTGTACGCCGAACCTTCCTATCGTGTTTGTGGTTTATATCGATACCCTGTAAAGGAAATAATATCTCTTAACTATCTTCGACGCTTCATGAAACTGACTAAACATTTGTTTCACGTTGATTAACACAGATGAATCGAATCTCTGTCGACTTTATAAATGCAATGGTGCAGCTGCTCCACCTTACCATTTTGATAAACCGGAAAGGAATGAAAGAAACGGATGTACGCGGAGCTGATCGAAGCTCCTGCAAACGGATGTCTCAGAGGGGGCGCTCTTTCAGTCAATATGGAAATATATAACGTGCAGTATATATAAACAAATTGATATAATTATATAGATCATGGTTTAGATAAAAACATCATTAAATATCAACAATGTCAGGCTAAGTAATAATTATTGTCATATACATAATAAGAGTCTTATCTGTTTAGAATAATATATTTATAAATGAGCTGCTTAAGAAAACATGCACGTTTGTTAAACTTTTAGCTACAGAATGCCCCGTTCATCAATATAATTACTACGAAATGATACATTTTCCCGTAATCGCAAGAAATATACATATGTTTCTAGTGATGTAGAGTTCTCGAACGCGAGATAGCGCTGGCGGTTTTTCAGTAGTCAGCCCCGTCTAGTTTCAATTTCAAGTTACAATACATAAACAGTGTACGCCGTGCCTTCGGTGTGTTCGAACGTTCGAAGCACGTTAGGAGCAGTTCAATGTTCGAATCCGCGCAGGCATCCAAGTGATCCAAGATAATAACGAGAGATAATTCTGCTTAATCGCATCCCGGGATCACGCATTCTCTTTTCTCGATTGCTTATCCAGAATTCGGCAACACGGTCTGTCGGTGTTATGTGAACGTAATTTAGATACCGTCCTTTTGTAAAGCGGGACGAACGGGTCCTTTGGAGAGGGATATCGTTACTTGTGCATTACTCGTCAAATGCACGTGCTTCGTTAAAATTCGCGACGTGACGATCGCTTAATCTGACAGATTAAATGACAGAAAGATGTGTGGAACAGTAAGAGGAGCCGTGGACAAGAATTGAATTGTAAAGTGGTGGGTCGTCGATAACGCTTTCTTAAATGAAATCGCACCGAGGGATTGTTTTCGATCACAGAGAAGGGATGTTTATCCGCGACGATGAAAAGAAGTATCTGATTGTTGTTCACCTCGGATACCGCGATAATGATCTGTCAATGGTCTCATTATCGGTGTGATTCGTGTATCTCATCGTATGGTAGACAGTCATCAGCGTGTCATGGAGGACGGTGGTCAAGTGCATTCTAGTACTCTCCTCGAAGAGACGTTCTATGTTACGTCCAAGAAAAACACTTATTACAAGGTGAGACTAACAGAGAAGGGTCTCAGCCTAGAGAAAGACAATAATGGTGCGACGAAGGTTGAAACGATCGTTCTAAACGACATAATAGGGTGCAGATGTATGCGTTCGAAACGCAAAAGCGCGGGAAGCTGTGTCTGTGGTCCAGGCACCTCCAAGTCTCAATTCAAGCTAGTCGAGTCTATGGAAGCGTATCAATGCTACGATGAGTTCGACACCTCCGCGTATCTGTACATTTACGCCTACACGCTGAAAAAGGCGCGGATGAAAGGCGCCAAGAGACGTGAAAGGACAACGATCACGCTGCGGTTTCGTAGTTTTGATAAATACGAGGATAATTTACGGGAGGCCAGCAGGTGGCGATTGGCTATAAAATGTCTTATTGTCGGTGTCCCCGTGCCTAAAAGTTTCATGAGCCCAAGTCACGAGAACCTTGAATCGTTGATCAGCGGTAAGTTCAAGTTCTTCATTTTGCGGTACGTTATCATCGCGAGAGAGTTACGCAGCAATTTAACAAACTGCATAATCGTAGAATATGTATAATTTCCTACTGCCAATGAATCGTATAATCTATATATCTATAATAAAAAGTTAACGTAAAGTACGTTTATGTTGAGTAATCGATGCTAGATGTTACGAAATAATTAAACCATCAAAAAATTGTTCGAGCTTTTCTTAAAGCCTTTCTCTCTAACAGCTTCTCAATCTCTATTAATTATAGATACATTATTCGCTGTAACGTTCTTTATCACACCCAAAAGTTGTTAAAAATATTTTATTGCTTAGATAATTCTACCGGCCGATTCTACAAAAATCACTTTTTCATGTTCTAGTTGTGTAACCTTCAGGAAAATGTCTGCTGATTCACGATGATCACAATAGCTCTAAAGTTGGAAAAATGTTAGGCAATCTTTTACAAATCCGTGTTTGAACATGAAAATGAGAATATTGTACTTGTTCAAATTGTAATTCTGTTATTATCGGATTTAAAAAAGCTAAGGTTATTTATTCTTGTCACAAGGAAAGAAAAATACATATATATTTAACTTGATTATAGTCTTCCATTTTCAGCCGTTGTTCATCTTTTATGTATGTCGCCGTACGGCTTTGAATTATAATTTTCTAAATATTAATGTAGCAATTAATGACTGAAGGTGCATCTGTACAAAGTGGCGTCGATGAAATCATAATGAAAACAAAATGATATTAAAAATGTGCGTGATGTACGCAATGATTACCGTCTCGATACGATACACAATACATGCGCGTTTCATTCAACTATAAAGCCAATCACACTGTTCACTCTCAAGATAAACCGACAGTCCGGTAATGATAAGTGTTATACGTAAATCATAGTGTCTCGGAATTGAGATTTAAACGAGTTAGTGTTGAGTCAGATTATTGCAACTTTCATGAAGATGCACAGAATGATCACAATAGCTCTAAAGTTGGAAAAATGTTAGGCAATCTTTTACAAATCCGTGTTTGAACATGAAAATGAGAATATTGTACTTGTTCAAATTGTAATTCTGTTATTATCGGATTTAAAAAAGCTAAGGTTATTTATTCTTGTCACAAGGAAAGAAAAATACATATATATTTAACTTGATTATAGTCTTCCATTTTCAGCCGTTGTTCATCTTTTATGTATGTCGCCGTACGGCTTTGAATTATAATTTTCTAAATATTAATGTAGCAATTAATGACTGAAGGTGCATCTGTACAAAGTGGCGTCGATGAAATCATAATGAAAACAAAATGATATTAAAAATGTGCGTGATGTACGCAATGATTACCGTCTCGATACGATACACAATACATGCGCGTTTCATTCAACTATAAAGCCAATCACACTGTTCACTCTCAAGATAAACCGACAGTCCGGTAATGATAAGTGTTATACGTAAATCATAGTGTCTCGGAATTGAGATTTAAACGAGTTAGTGTTGAGTCAGATTATTGCAACTTTCATGAAGATGCACAGCTTAATTCCACTCGATCAAGTAGCCATTACCTTACCTTTTTACTTTATTTGAAGTATCAATCTTTTGTCATTACTTTGTTAAAAAGAACTGTAATTTTATGTACACTCTTATTTGTTTTTGTACTGGAATGAATTGATGTTTTATAGGATATTTTAAGTAATTAGCGTTCGTTAATAATTAAGGTTGCTTTGTTCGTCGCTTATTATAGTAAGCATTGTGCTGTGTTCCGATGCATGAAACGCTCGTTCCCAGTTGCATAACATGATCAAAGTTTCGTGTAATCTTGCCTAGTACAACGCAACGCGGTAATTAACACATATTTAAAGCAGGATTCAATTTTCACGGAAAAATCCTAATTGACATTGCACATTATTATTCAAGTAATAATGAGGCAGCTACGTAAATACAGATTAGTTACGTTGCTTGAAATGTATGAGAGGTGTAATCAATTTAGATTAATAACATTTCTTAGTTAGATCTATTACGATTAAAAGCTGAATCATGAATATAGGACAGAAATTTATTAACCTGCTATAAGATCATTATTATTCAAGCTTTGGAAGACTGTAAACGTTTCCAAGACTTTGTTGCGTCAGTGCCAAATCTTTGTCTCTTTAATAACACCGCCAACCTGTGGAATTGCAAGAATTATATGACTAATACATAAATCAATTCTCTTATTACATTGAAAGAAAAGCTTATCTTTATATAGCTAAGTTACTTCTCTGAGAATAATTAATTACTTTTAATGTGCAGTATGTGTAAGCCACCTTTACACCACCTTTTTTTTTACATGCATTTGCATCGTACCTAACATTCAGATCAATCATATTCTCAGACACATGGTCGGTATTTTGTTCGATAGATCGTGTGGCAAACTGAAAAAACTGCATAATTTTTCACCATTTGCATAACAACAGATCACTGGCTAAACAAAAAAAGTAGTTTAAACAATCTTCTCACTCTGTCTAATTCAGTTCCTCATTCTTTTCTACAGAAAGTTGCTCCATGGTTAGTGGATCGTCTGCTACGAGTTTATCACGCTGTTTACGTGTTTCTTTCCGGGTGATTTGCAAACGAATAGAGCCACGAAACCCGCGGTACACGTGTATGCAAATAACGTGTATGTATCGCTCGACATTGCGTGCTACAAAATATGTACATATACATACGTGTATTCAGTTCTAATATGTGCTATGTCTACTGGTCGATAGTACACTATGTACTACTATTTTATTATTGTATATTAACGTATACTAGTGAAACTGATATGTTTCGTTATACATATGTATCAAACTAACTTTACTAGTAAAACATATCGTATAGTTTTAATTCATTCGATTCATTCATATGCAATTAAACAGCTTCTGCCTGACAATTAAAAATATTTGCTGATGAAGAATCAAGAATGAGGGGGATACATCTTCTTTATTTATCTTCGGAATCAATAGTTCCAACACATCGTACATTACATTTGCTCTTGCAGGGACATCCTGGTTTTACCCAGAGGGTTTCGGTTTACATCAAACAGCTGGTGAACTTATATCTCTTTGTTGACGCAGCCGCAATCGATATCGGCTAAGAGGAAGAGATTTATCCTACATGACGATCTTCGACCATTAGTTGCAACTTGCATTTTTACTATGATAACGTTCTGCTAAGCTCGCCTGAATCTCTCGAACGGATGACACTTCAATGACACTCCGATAGTATTAATAGATAAGATTCAGAGAAAAAAATGGTTCACATGAGCTCACATTAATTTATTCTAATGTGCAAAAGTTGTAGATTTTATGGCCGTGTAATTCCATGTCCCATTGTTTTATTTTATTGCCCGTGTAAGCTCATTGAAACGCGAGACCTTGCGATAAACACCTACATTGTGTACTATAACTCTGTATTCGGCTTACGTCACACTCTGATTTATCGTATATTGACGAAAATAGCCCGTTCACCTACATGCACTGTTTCGCTTTTGACAAACTCCCCTGAAATTGACGCAGTTTCATAGCTAACAGTAATTTTTCAAGCTAATCACAGCAGATCGCCGTGCAACTTTACGATCGAATGCCGTAGAATTACAGTTATGATCCACAAACATCTTTAATGCATCTTCGATGCTACTTTTATTATCGTACAATTTTATGGCCCGCTAACTTTATTTCAAACTGCATACTGAAACGACATCCATTTACACGTGTATACATATGAAGTTTTTGTCCCTGCTCGGTTTATTAGATACACGCTCTGCTTGACACGCTTGCTAAAATCTGAATTCTCCATCGTCACGAAGAGCGTGCTCGCTACCGTAAACGTACAAATGTGTGCACGCTTTTGCTATCGCTGCTCGAGCATTCTGACGCGAACGTGCATTCGTACGGGATCCTGATTTCTTGACGCTTCGCTGAAATATTCAGAAACGAGTAAATTGAATATTCATTTACGAACGTGATGTTCGCTCTTTTAAAAGACTTCAGAAAGGTCAAGAATCTACTGATCTGACGCGATTGGGAGATCGGGCATATACATGTGCATTTGGAAGGTCGCGTTCGTCGAGCAGTCAGATTGTAAGATGAGATGAAAGCGAGCAAATTCCATTCTTTGTACGTTTGTTCGTTTGATACCAGAATAGATTTTGGAATCGGTCAATCGTGAAGATTCGACCGCTTCTCCGACGTACGTTAAAACTTTAAGGTGCAATCGATACCGTTCCCAAAGCGACCTTATAATGCACGATTCTAATCGTACGTCTTACAATTAGTAGTGGTCCCTTTTTCCTCCAGCGTTCGATCGGATAAAAATCGTTTTTTACGACCTTATTTAGCCGATATGGAATGTGCCAAGCCACGTGCACATAAAGACACGAGACAAAAGAGGAACAATTGGGTCGCGTGCGTCGCGTCTTCCCGTCGCCGAAAAGTGTTCCGTCATTTTTCTCAAGCAATTGCCTGCACGTACCGCAGTGGCCGCCAGCCAAATTAATCGAAAATGACCTACATTGAATTTTGCTGATTGTGTATGAAGAACAGTTCCGGTCGTTGTTCCTCGTACCCTATCAAATGTTTGTTCAGCTGCTCGAACGACGACTTTTCGTTGTTTGTTATCCTGTCAGTCGCTACTTACAATCAGCACGTAATTCGGAAGTGGTATCGAATTTAATTTACTGCAACGCTGATTGTCATTACGACACCTGTTTTTTTTTATGAGATCTCAATATTTGGTCTCGGAGCTACGGTTTTATACCTTGAGCTTAAATGTACAAGTGTTGTGTTCCGTAGCATAAGCTTTATTAAATAACAATACAACTTTGCAGTGATACTGACTGAGTGAGGCTTTAAGGATGTATTGGCTATAAAGTCAATCTCAAAAGTTTATGTACCTTAGAAAAACGCATTCCCTATAATTAAAAAGAAATCAGACGTCGGAAGAATAATGCTAATAATAAATAGCTAAGTGCTAAAAAG